TGAAGTCAGGAGAGGCTGCTGCTGGCTGAGGGGGTGTGCGTGGGCCGAGAGCTGCTGCTGCACCCCTAGACTAGAGAGGGGACCCTCCTTTGGTTGCTAATTTGGTAAAGACTGAAATGAGGCTCCAGGTGGGGGCAGGTAAGTCGTGTTTGAAGTGGTTTGAGCAGCCGTTTTCAGGTGCATTCATTGCGGGTTGGAGTACTCTACCCACCATTGACTTAGAAGTGGCAGACGTGGCCTCGGCCTGTTTCTGCTGCAGCTGGTGACTCGCAGCGGGACGCACAGTGCCCCCGTACACAGCTGGTTCTGGACTGAGGACAGAGTGAGGGATTCCAGCCTGGATGGACGGTCTGACTTAGAGGGTTTGGTTTTTTTCTAAGATTTTTGATTGATGTATAGAGAGAGAGGAAGGGAGAGGGAGACAGAGATAGAAACAGTGATGAGAGAGAAACATTGATTGGCTGCCTCCTGCACACTCCTACCAGGGATCAAGCCTGAAACCTGGGCATGTGCCCTGACTGAGAGTCAAACCGGCAACCTTTTGGTACATGGGGCAACGCCGAGCAACTGAGCCACACCCTCCAGGGCCAACTTAGAGAGTTTTTGTTGTTGTTGTTAATCCTCACCTGAGGTTATTTTCCCATTGATTTTTAGATAGAGTGGAAGGGAGGGAGGGAGGGAGAGAGAACATTGATGTGAGAGAGATACATCTATTAGTTGCCTCCTGCAGGACTGCAACTGGGGTTGGGGGTTGAACCTGCCACTCAGGTACGTGCTCTTGACTGGGAATCGAACCCTTTGGTCCTCAGGCCGATGTGCTAACCGCTGAGCCAAATCAGCCAGGGCCTGGCTTAGAGGATTTAAAAAAAAAATTGTTTTTCTTTATTGATTTTAAAAAGAGAGAAAGGGAGAGGAAGAGAGAGATAGAAACATCAATGAGAAAGAACATTGATTGGCCGTCTCCTGCATGCCCCCCACTGGGGATTGGGCCTACAACCTGAGCATGTGCCCTGACTGGGAATCGAACTGGTGACCTGTTGGCGTGTAGGTAGATCAATGCTCAACCACGGAGCACACCAGTTGGGCCTGACTTAGAGGGTTTTTGACTTCTCTCCTAACAGCCTGAGAAACGCTTAGATCAGTCCTCTCAAATGAGTATTGAACACCCACCGAGCACTTTCATGTCTGACTTCATTCATTCCTCACACCAACCCTGGACGTAGTGACTGTTCCCCATGCAGAGGTCCAGCGACTTGCCGGCGTCACACTGCAAACGGGAGAGGGAAGATTCAACCCGGGAGACTGAACTCCCGAATTTGGGTTCTTTATTCCTTTCCTCCATTCTTTCAGTGTTCAGTGATGTCAGTGTTCAGAAATGGTGATGGAATTACGTTTATTACTCTTCCAGTCATGTATTGGCAGGACCCTGGCTAGAACTCAGGGCTCGATGCTTCCTACACAAGCCTCTTGCCATTTGCATCATCTCAGTGACCTTCTTCAGGGGTTCCCTGGATGGGAGTGGTTGGCGCTGAGGAGGGGGGTAGCTCTCATGTTCTTCTTTGTGCAGAGGAGAGGTGATGATACCTTTGGCTAGATGTTGATGGTCTGTGGGTCTGAACGTGGGCTTTTCAAAAAGCTTCTCGTAGTGTCTTGTGGATCAGAACGAGGAGGAAGGCGAGGCTGTAATTGGTGGTTGAACTCTTACATTCTTCAGGATGGTCACTGATGCCCGTCTGGACAGAGATCTCTACGGCCAGCCAGTGGACTCGGATCTCGGCCCTCACCTCTCTCCTCATTTGGGTGTAGATACAGAAGGGGTGTTCACGCCTGGACTTGATAGGAAAACAGTAAATATATTAGGTGTTAAGTTGGGATTCCCCACAATGCCTGATGGACCTGTAATGGTGGTAGCCTGAGCTCTCGCAAGGTTTCGTTCAACGTAAGTTAAAGTTACGCTCCTGAGTTGAAGAACTGCCCCAGGCACCAAGATGGGATGGAGGCTATGTGGTTTAGCAGCATTGGTGGCAAGACCTGTGCACGGGTGTTAGTGTCAGCAGCTCAGGTGTAGCTGCCTTGGGGCCTCTGCCAGGAACCGGTCGGACAGGACCCCTGACCTGGTGCAGCTTTGCAGCCTGTGGGAGCAAAGTGCAGCCTGGAGGAGTAAATCCAGGGGCCTGCAGTTGGGCCAAGCAGGTCTCAGATGCACAAATGCAGATGGATGCAATCTTACAGCTTGTGTGCAAGAGACTTTAGAGTTTGGATGGATTGTAAATTCACGGTCCTGTTTTTGCCAGAACCTCTAATTTGATCTTAAATTTTTTTATGTAATGGCTTTTACTGTTTTCATAAAAATGATACATGACCTTATTAAACAGCAGCAACAACAAAACCAAACTACAGCCAGAGAGAAAGTACAAACAAGAAAGCAACACATTGCTCTAAATCTTAGCTCCCAGAAGTAGTCTGTTTAATATTTGGTAGACAGTTTTCCAGATATCTCGCTGCATATTTTCAGATGGACTCGAGAGCTAGAGAAACGTACACAAGGTGTTCATGCTCTGTGTGATAGTTTCAGGATAAACGTATTTAATTTTACTTTCATTTAACAAAAGAATTGAAACTGAAGTGAAGTAATACCAAAGAAAATGCTGAACTTCAGAGAACTGTTTCTGCACCGAAAGAAGTAAGTTTCTTAGACATTCCTGGAAGGCGGCGGTTCTTAACTGGGGATGACTTTGCCCTTAAGGGGACATCTGGCAGTGTCTGGAGACATTTTTGGTTGTCACAATCAGAGGTATCTGTGAGTGTTACTGGCATCCAGTGAATACAGGTCAAGGCGCTGCTAACTATCCTGCAATGCACAGGACAGCCCCCTACAAAAAAGAATTATCGCCCTGGCCGGTGTCACTTAGTGGTTAGAGCCTGGGCCCAGGCACCAGAGGGTCTCGGGTTCCTCCCGATCAAGGGTATGTATCTGGGTTGAAGGTTTGATCCCTGGTCCCCGTCAGGGTGTGTGCAGGAGGCAACTGATCAATGTGTCTCTTTCATGTCTCTCTCTCTCTCTGTCTCTCTCTTCCCCTCCTTCCCTCCCTCTCCATTTTCCTTTTCTCCTTCTTCCCTTCCACTCTCTCTAAAAATCAATGGAGAATATGTCCTCAGGTGAGGATTAACAACAACAACAAGAAAGAATTTTCTGGCCCAAAATGTCAATAGTGGCAAGGTTGAGAAACTGCTCTAGGCATAAGAAAAAAAAAAAAAAAAGACTATTAAAACCATTAGGAAGGGGAACTTATCAAGTTTTAGCTCAGTTGCTATTTTGGACTATTTTGATTGAGTTTCTATATTGAAAGATGAGATAACTAACTTTATTGTATAGTTTCTCCCTCCTGTCCTTAACAACAAAATCAGAGATGGCCTGTCTTGTTTGTACCATGTCAAGGTTCATAGCATTTATGTTCTGTCCTGTAACCATAATCCCCAAGGTGTTTGGTCTTAGTTCTATATTTAAATGATTCTGTGCCAAACATCGCTTCTGTAACCATGGTTTCTGCCTTCCTGGATTTGTTTTGCATCGCCTATTGGTTGGTTGGCTACTTGATCTTAATATAACTGTAATGTGTAGGTGCAGGGAGACCCCACTCTGGGTTGGCCCTGGCAGAATTGTCCCTGCAGGTTTGAGTTGGTGTCTGAGCACCATGCTAATAAGAGTAGGGAGCCCTGGCCGGTGTGGCTCAGTTGGCTGGGTGTCGTCCTGTGCACCGAAAGGTTGCCAGTTAGATTCCTGGTCTAGGCACATGCCCAGCTTGCAGGCTTGGTCCCGGTAGGGGGCGTGCGGGGGGCAGCCGATTGATGTTTTGCTTTCACGTGGATGTATTTTTTCCCTGTGTCTCTCCCTGTCTCTAAAACAATCATTAAAAAAAAAAAAAAGAGTAGGGAGATACATGGAGTGTTCCCAGGATGCGGTGGGAATGTGAAGCAGGGTCCCGGGTAGAAGTGGAATTGAACTTGGGAGGCTGGAGGAAGGAAAGCTCTGGGTGAAGGTGCTGCATTCTCAGTTCTTTGATAAGACTTCAGGTGGAAACTTACGTGCAAGAGACTTTAGGGTTTGGGTGGATTGTAAATTCATGGTGCTGTTGTTGCCAGACCTCTCCTTTGATCTTAAATTTTTTTATGTAATGACTTTTATTGCTTTTATAAAAGCTATATATGATCTTGCTAAAAAACAAACAAAACACACACACAAAACCCCAAAACTATGGCCAGAGAGGAAAGAATGACCAAGAAAGCAACACATTGGTCCAAATCTTAGCTCCCAGAAATAGTTCATTTTAATATTTGGTAGACAGATACTAAACTTAACTTTGAAGTTCTCCAGAAGGTTAGAACTGGGGCCGCATGGAGACGTAAGACAGGGTAGCAGATGTAGGCTGCCGGGCGGGTGATGAGTTCACTTAGCTGAAGTAGGCTGGGAATCACCTGTTGCCGTCGTACATAGTTGCTGGGTTCGAGCCATCAGTGGAGCGGCTATATTTATGTCACTTCCCAACCTTGAGATCCTGACAGTCTAACAGTGCTTCCCCATAGCCACCTGTCCTGGGGAGGAGCCCTAGTCACTCTGGCTCCCTCTTCCCTGCCGTTTGGGGAAGAGAGAACAGCCAGGGCCATGATCAGGTGGTTCAAGGTCGAGCCTTAAATATTCTGCACCTCTAGAATTTGGACCCACCATCTATTGACTCAAAAAGGGATGCATCAATGTATGTATTTGATTCTGCCCAGCTTGTGCCAGTTGGTATTTACTAGGTTTCAGGGACTGAGCACATTCTAAACCCATTCCTGAGCCAATGCATGTATATATAACCTGGGCAACATACCACAGACTGCAAAGGAAGAGAGCATACACAGGCTCTCCCTGTGTGCTTGGAATTGGGTGTTGTGTTATTGCCTTAATGGGATGTCTCTCACAGCGTGACTTACTGATTGATGGCTTTGCTTTGTTGTAGGGGAGCTATCCAGTTTGGGAAGATTTCATAAACAAAGCCGGAAAACTGCAGTCCCAGCTCCGGTAAGTAGAAGCGTGTCATCACTAGGAAAAGGGCAAGGTCCTCAGACAAAGGACAAAACAGGAGGGCCCCAAGGTGCAGACTGGGGTTAATTTGGGAAATGTTACAGGCACAGAAGCATCTCACATCGATCATTGTCACTTACTAGCCGTACGTCCTGGCCTCTGATTTCCATAAAATTTAAACTCATTTGCTCTGCCTTCTTCCACAGGACTTTGGAGGGTTTGCTGGGTTACTATATGTAAAGTAATAACGGGGACTGTTTACAGAGCACTCATTATGTGCCAGGCTTATGTTAACTTAATTGAATCTTAAAACCCCAGGAGCTAAGCTCAGTTATGGTCCCCATTTTACTGCTGAGGAAACCGAGGCACAGATAAGCTAAATAACTTACCCGAAGTCAGACAGCTAGTACATGACAGGGATTTGAATTTATGGGGTTTGGCTCCAGAGGCCATTCTGTTTCCTGCCTATTCTTATAAAGAGTTTAAAACTTAGTTTTGACTATGGTAGAATCCCATTTATCTGAGATGTCTAGAAAAAGGAAATCTGTAGAGACAAATACAGATTGGTGCTTGCCTAGGGCCAGGGGTGGAAAAGGAAATTGATAACAAACAGGCATGAAGGATCTTTTGGGGGTGATGGAAATGTTCTAAAATTGGACTGTGGTGGTGGTTGCATAATGCTAACTTTATTAAAAAGTTGTTGAATGATATACTTAAAAAAGGGTGAATTTTTATGGTATGCAAATTATGCCTCAATAAAGCCACTTAAAAAGCCACTCCGCTCCAAAGGGCTATTATAGCCTCGTCTTGTGTGTGTTCATATACCATTCGATAAGAAATAGAAAATAGCCCTGGCCGGTTTGGCTCAGCGGTTAGAGTGTTGGCCTGTGGACCAGAGAGTCCCGGGTTTAGTTCCCGCTAAGGGCACGTACCTTGGTTGCAGTTTGTCCCTGGCCCTGGTTGTGGTCGAGCGGGTGGCAACCAGTCGATCTGTCTCTCTCACGTTGATGTTTCTCTTTCTCTCTCTTTCTATCCCCCTCTCTCCCTCCCTCTCTATCTGAAAATAAATGCAAAAGTGTCCTTGGCTAAGGATTAAAAAAAAAAAAAGAAACAGAAAATATATCAATATCTTCTTGTTCAAACTATATGCGTGTAAATCAGTGGGAAGAAGAGGTCCTTTTGCACTTTGTGGGTGTTCCATGAGGGGTGGGGAATTTAAAAAAGCACCCGGTTTCATGGCCCTTGTTCATGGCCTGTGGGGGAGGACATAGGTTGATTTGGCTCTATGACGGTGGTTTTCCAGAGAACAAAGCAGGTAGGTATTTTTTTAGGATCAAAAGCGATGTGGATGACAGAGAGGACGGAAGGATGACATGATGCTCTTGGGCCTTTGCCTATGGACATGGGCGTTAATGCCCAGAGCTTTGGCCACAGGACTGAACGTAGCACGGCTCCCCGGGAGATTAGGAGAGGACTCGGGAGAGGTTGGGGTTTCCAGAGCCATGAGTGGGCCTTGGGCAGGACAGGGACTCTGGAATACGGATCCGTCTCTGTTTGTCAAGACCTTTGCCATTTCTTTGCTTAAGGACTTATGATCACTTTACACCAAACAGGATCCAAATTCCTCAGCTCAGAACGTGGGACCTTTCACCTTGTTTATTAGTTCCATCTGCTCCCCACCCCCATCTCTGCCACGGCTGTCACTTAGTCAAACAGGTTAGCCTCCATCCTGTAGGTGTTCGCCTGCGTAAAACAATAAAACACTTGCGTTGACCCCCCACCCCCACCCCACACATACACTCATACTTTTTCTTATCTGGCCTCATTTAATTGTCTGGCAAGCTTTCGGGACTGACCACGGAAAAGATCCCCTGATTAGACATACACAGTAGGACTTAGAACATCTTATCTTACCCCCACAGGTACAGAATACATTTTACATTTTGTGACGACATTTAGGCCTCCTGAGAGCAGGGACCGTTTTGTCATCCTGCGAGTATGGGCCGGGCTGGGGGCACGACCGGGGTCTCACACATGGTGTCGTTTTCTGCGTTCACGAAAGGATAAAGATGAAGGGAAGATTGTGGAATAGCAAGTACGTCTGGGAGTACTGAAGCTGAATCACTCCTTCCCGCTGCCTGTGGCTGCCTGATCTGTCCGAACAGAGAGGCCGAAGATGTCTCGTGACAACAGCAGACAGTGAAATGTGACTCACGGGAAGGCCGTGGTTAAAAGCTCTTAATTTGTCACACTTGACCGCCAGCCCCGCGCTCAGCGGAGCCCGGTGACGCGGAATGCGCGAGGCACCCCTGCAGCGGGCTCATTGCGTTTGGGGGATCAGCACTGACTCGAATGAGAATGAATAAACCCAGCCACTGTGTCAGATATTAGTTGTAAATCAGAATGAACTATCTATAAACCCTAGGCTGTTTAATGAAGCTAATTTTTCCAGGGTTTGCATTGGATGTCAAATCTTTTAAAAATGTGCTTTGAAGGTGACGTTAAAAATTATTTTTTTCTTTATTGGTTTTCGAGAGTGAGGAAGGGAGAGAGAGATAGAAACAGCAATGAGAGAGAACATTGACTGGCCGCCTCCTGCATGCCCCCCACTGGGAATTTGGCCCACAACCTGGGCATGTGCCCTGACCAGGAATTGAACTGGTGACCTCTTGGTGCATGGGTCGAGGCTCAACCACTGAGCTACACTGGACAGGCTGAAGTGGCATTTTTAAATGTTGGTTTTGTTTTTTACGTCATTTAAAAAAAAAAAATTGAGCAGAATGCTTTCTTGCTCTGCTGGAAGCCATCGGGCCTCATTTGAAGTTGGGCTCTGAGGGACTGCACAGGTGTCCAGAGACCACACCCAGCACCTCCAGGGACCTTTGTCTCACAGTTGCTGTTGCTTATATTTAAAGGCTATTTCTTTTCTTTGTCTCCGTTTTGAACTCTTTCCTTTATAATCCTTATTCTCATCTCCTTCCTTCATCAACTTTATATTCCTAGAAATGCTCAGTAAAGACTGGATTCATAGGTGAAATACTTCGAAATTATGTCAGGCTGCAAGCTGAGTTGTCGAGGTCGAATCCTGGGGCTGGCTGGCTTGTTCGGGACGTCCACCACCCGGGCACGGAGCAGTGTATGCTCAGCATCGAATGACATCTCAGACCACAGCTCCGGCTCCAGTAGACCCCAGTGTGCTCAGGGCATCTTACAGGGCTCAAAAGCATGCGAAGAATTCAAAATTATTTCTGGGGTGTAGTCATTTCTTCTATTCTCAGCTTTTACGAATTCAGACACTACAGTTGAGATAGCCTTCTGAGGTTAGAGAAACGGTATCTCGGTTTCATTGTAGTTATGCTTTAGGATGGGAAAGTCACACAGCTAGGATCTTGACTTGTGGGATGGGCACGGGACTATATGTCATGCTGGGCTACTAGTCTCAGCTCTCGTGTGAACTAGTAATCTTGAAAGTCACCTTGAGGTTATGGTCTCAGTTTTCCCATCTCTAAAATCAGTTTTTTTTTTTATTTTATTTATTTATTTGAATCATTATCCAAGGATATATATATATTTTTTTTAGATAGAGTGGAAGGGAGGAAGGGAAAGAGAGAGAGACAGAAACATTGATGTGAGAGCGAAACATCAATTTGTTGCCTCCTGCGCCACCCCAGCTGGGGCTGGGGATTGAGCCAAAACTGAGTTATGTGTCCTTGACCGGGAATCTAACCCGAGTCTTTTTGGTCCGTGGGCTGACCCTCTAACGTCTGTGTCAGGGCTAAATGAGTTATTTAAATAGATGATCTCTTGCTAAGATTCTTTCTCTATTATATATTATTTTCCTGCTCTAAAATTAATTTTACTGGCACCATTTATATTTTCTAATAATGTTTTTCTTCTCAGTAGAAACTCCTGTCCTTTCCTCCTTTGTGAAATTTTACCCATTAATCATTACGTAGTCCCGGCTGAGATGGGGTGGGGAGACGGCTGGTGTTGACTGACCAGCCGAATGAGCTGGACATGGTTGGGGCAGAGCTGCTAATAACAGGAGGAGGAGCCCTGGCGGGTTTGGCTCAGCAGTTAGAGCGTCGGCCTGCGGTCCACAGAGGCCTGGGTTCGGTTCCCTCTAAGGGCACGTACCTTGGTTGCAGTTTGTCCCTCGCTCTGGTTGGGGTTGTGTGGGTGGCAGCCAGTTGATGTGTCTCCCTCACATTGATGTTTCTCTCTTCCTCCCTCTCTCCCTCTCGCCCTATCTGGAGATGGATGCAAAAATGTCCTCGGGTGAGGATAAAAAAGATTATAATAATAATAGGGGGAGAAATGCTTCCTATGAAAAAAGTGGGTCTGCAACGCGAACGGTTGTCCTTGCCCAGTTGGCCTGTTTCTCCTGGAAGATAGCGTTCAGTCCTCGTCAGAGGTCTCAGCCCTGGAGGGGTAATGACATTCCTCATGCTTGTGTCATCTGTTTGTATTTTAGGACAACAGTAGTAGCAGCAGCTGCCTTCTTGGACGCCTTTCAGAAAGTGGCCGACATGGCCACCAACACACGTGGTAAGCAGATGGAGGGATGGCGCCCAGCCTGAGTGGGCTTCAGCATGTGGGCTCTTCCCCTTGGGGTGGCTTCACAGGGAGACACAGCCTCCGTTTTCACAGCTGAGCTGACTCACATTTAACATTTTTTTAACGCTGTGGGATTCCACAGATTAGAAGTGGTGGCAAGGTTCCCCACATGATAAAGCACAAGAGAAGAAGGAGAAACAAGGGAAAAGAACCACTGCTGAGACGCGAGGGGGCTCGATGTGTTTCCTGGTCCCTTTTAATGGCGTGCTGGTGGCAGTGCCTTTGGTGTGATGCGTGGCTCCCCTTTCACGAGGGTTGTCCTGAGGCTGTCTGCCTTCCCCTGTGGCACGGGAAACAGGAAGAATGAATGGATAGACCATTTTTCTGGGTTCTATAACACGAGGAACCCTGTATAGGTAGTGTCCTGTTGCATTGTGTTTGTGTCTCCCACATTTGACTGCAAACTCCTTTGAGGTTCAGAGTGTGACTTCTGTCTGAACCCTCCAAAACACAGTGCCTAGAACATAGTAAATGTTTACAGTAGGTATATTAAATCAAGGAAAAAAGAGAAATCTTTTGAAATATTTTAATGGTTTCACTTGCTACTGAATCATACAAAAGACGAACAGTAACAGGTGAAAGATATAAAGAAGAAAACGAATGCTCCTGTATCCACCACCATCGTTTGAAATACAACCTCATCCATATCCCAGAAACCCGTTCACCAGGCACACGCCCAGGTTTCAGGCTTGATCCCCAGTACGGGGCGTGCAGGAGGCAATTGATCGATGTTTCTCTCTCACATCAATGTTTCCATCTCCCTCTCCCTTTCCCTTTCTCTTAAAAAACAAAAACAAAAAACAAAACAAAACTTGAAAAACAAAGAAAAGAAACCCCTGTTCAAAGGGGTCGTGCTTTTCTTCGTTCCCACGCAGAGACTCTGGCCGGCCTCTTGTCGGATCTTTCAGGGTCTGCTCGTCAAGGTGACATTGGGAAACGTGGGTGTGGGGGGTTGTTCCCAGTCACATGAGAGTTTGGCGTCTCTGACACACAGAGGGGCACCTCCGGTGGGTCTCACTAAGCTCACCTACTGACCACAGGGCCTTAGTTAAATATTTGAGCACATTTGCAGCAAGCACACTTCTCATTCATTCAGGAAACTGCGAAACTGCCGATATGTCAGGCACTGTCCTGGGGCCACAAAAGTCAATACATTACCGTCCTGATCGAGCTGGGGCTCGCGATGGAATGGGGGGAGATGCGACGCACAAATCGAGGTGTAGAAATGATACATTCGTCATGGTCACGATGGTGGAATATGCAAAAGTGAGCAGTTAGCTCAGGGAGATGAGGGAGGTCTCCCAGGAGAGGTAATATTTCTCTTCACTTCCAAGATGCCAGCGGTGTTTCAAAAGGTTCCCTGGGAGAATGTGATGGAGACATCAGAGCCATGGGGCCTTTGTCTGGTTTGCCGGCTTGATGTGGCTCTTAGCCACTGCTTTTTAAGCCCTTTACAAAAAGTATTGCATAGTTTATACATGTCCATTGTAGAAACTAGAAAATACAAGTATAAAAAAGAATAGAACCTCGAAGCCAGTCCATTGTTAGTGTTACTGGGTCTATTTCATAATACTTTCCAGTGCTCACCGGTATTGGGAACTGGATTGTTAGTTATATTGACAGTTACAGCCATCAGAATGTGTCTTTTTTTTTAAAAAGCTGCTTGTTGCTTTACTACTTTAAAGAACTTACATATCTGGCATTGCATTTTCAAGACTCTGGGATTCATAATACTTTTTTATATTTTAATATTTAATTATGGGATGGACCCTCAAGGATAGATTAGAAATACATCCCCGATTGTCCATAATTTCCTGCAGTGGGAACCTGGGTTTTTGCAGAAGCTGCTCCCAGAGTGGTTGTCGGTGGGAAACGGGAGATCCTGCAAGTTCTCATGGTTGAAGGGAGTGAAAACAGAGCAATTATTTGTGGGAAAAGAAACCAGAACAGCCTCTCTGTGGTGGTGGTGGAGGTGGAGTAGGAACTTAAGAGGTGATGTATTGGATGAAAAGCAAATAATGTCAGTGTGAACAGACTCCTGCTTTGATATATTTTTAAAGTATTTGATTTCTGGTCATTTTTAGCGATTCCAGAGTACTTCCTGTCTCTCATGTGCACTGGAGGGAAATAACTTTCTGTGGCATGTGGGAGGGTGAGGACTCTCACGGGGCTTAAAAAGTGGTTGATAGAAAGGAGATATCTTTTATGGCGATGAGAAGAGACGAACTTGAACACACGTACTTTTTGTATGTTCAGTAAGCATCAGAAGTGATTTTTATTAAGTTAATTATTACTTAAAAATGGAAAAATATAGAACATGCTCTTGAGTTTAAAAAACTCATGTAACAAAATACAGAAAATTAAGTCCACCCTCCCAGTACCCTTTGTAGGGACTGGGCTTAGTGTCAGGTATAGACTTGTTGCATTCATAAACAAACACATCTGGGAGGGAAAAAAACTAGTTGCAGAACAATATACAGAATGGCATATACAATAAAGTATACCTGTATGATCTTTTTCAAAGGGTAGCTCCTAAGAAACATCATTCCTGTGCTTTTTCTCCACAGTGTATTATAGTTATCTTCCTATGTTAGTACCTATAGCTCTACCTCATTCCTTCTAGCGGCCAAATGGAATTGCACTGTCCAGTGTAGCACAGTGTAACCATCTTTCATTGAGGGATATTCAGATGATTTCTATTTATTTGTTACTACAAGCTACGTTGCAGTAAATGCTCATGTGTGCATCCTTTTGGAGATCTATTTAAAAATATATTTTTTTCTTTATTGATGTTAGAGAGAGGGGAAGGGAAAGGGAGAGAGAGATAGAAACATTGATGAGAGAACATCAGTTGGCTCTCTCCTGCATGCCCCCCACTGGGGATCAGGCTTACAACCCGGACATGTGCTCTGACCGGGAATTGAACCAGCGAACTCTTGGTGCATGGGTTGACGCTCAACCACTGAGCCACACCGGCCGGGCTATGTGTAATCTATTTTCAGTGATGTACATATCACCAAGGAAAAAGTGAATCTGCAGAAATGCTTCAAGCTGTTTTGGTCATCAGTAAATATATATTTGGGCTTAAGGTCACGACAGGCTGTAACTGTGATACAGTTTGCAGTTTGATATCTACCTTCTACAGAAAGTCCAGTGTCTTGCTTAGGGACTGTAGATGTCTCTTTTTAATCCTTCTTGCTGGAAGTGACAGGGGAATAGCAGTTACTCTTAAGTGCATCTCATTTGGGCAAGTGTCCAGAATTTCAGGCTAGCAGATCTCTGGTTTCCAGCATATTAGCATTTCATATTGTTTCCCAGAGGAAACAGCTCTGAAAGGTCTTTGTCCTCTTGAGCAAATATTTTACACTAGCTGTCAGTACAATTTACTTAGGAACACGTTTTAAAGCGAGTCACTGTAAGAGCAAAATCATTCTGGTCGTTATATAACTTGTTAAATAGGATGTGGAAATATGTCAGAACTCTGTTTTGTTCATTTTTTTTTTTAATGAAGAGTACAAGTTGCTCTTATGATGTGTGTGTATTTAGGTTAATAATTAAACTATAATGGAACTTAGGAGTATGTTAGCACCATAATACATGGTACAGTTTCATATTTTATTGAGTTTTCAACTTGTGTTTAATATGAAAGTACACCTTTTTGTGTGTTGTTGACCACAAAGAATTAGTGTCCAGGCATTCGGTATTCTTAGAAAGCTAGACTTTTGGGTTAGAACCATCATTTTCTTCTGGTCCGTGGTGGATCAGCATGCAGGCTGTTGTAGGAGTTGAGAAATGTTTGAACTGACTGGTATGCAGTTGCCTGGGTTATTTTAAAAAATAAAATAAATAAAACGAACTAAGATGGGGGATGGCTTCTTAGCCCTCCACAGCAGAGATGGCCTGTCTTGGGGACCAGCACCCCGACACCTATAAGCACCCATCCTTGCACACCGGGGCCTGCCTGTCTGTTTCAGTGGAAGGCCAGCGTAGTGAGCTGATGAAACGCTCTGTCATACTCAGCACTGGCCCTTCGTGGCCACTGCATCATTGCTTAGGTCAGCAAGGGCCTTTTAAAAGCATAATGCTGTGTGACTTTCAGTTTTGGCTGCTTCTTTGTGCCTCTATAATTACTTTAAAGCTTTGAAGAACTGTCTCAGGGATGCTTAGATGATGATACACCAATCCCATAGAAAGGAGTTTGAAGATTATAAGAAGGAAAGAAATGGATCTCCTGCTGACTAGATCATCTTTAATGTCCCAAACCCTTCATATGTCGCTTTTAAAAATGGACATGGTTTGCATCTTGAGAATGATGCATAACCTTTATTGCATGTGTAACACGGGCTGGGCACCGTCCTATGTGTTTTACACATATTGAGTCTTTTTATTTTAACAGCCTCATAAGGTAGGTGCTCACGATCTTCATTTTAGGTTGTGAAATAAGACGAAGATTTTACCTAACTGACCAAGGACATGTGGCTAGTAAGTGGTGAAGCTGGAGTCTGGCCCAGAGCCTAGAATTTAACCATTAAATTACGATTCCTTATATAAGGATTTAGTATAGGCTTTTACTTGCCTAAAAAACAATCTGTTTCACGTTGGAGTAACATCCAGATTGGGAGCTGGGATATCTATGTTTGTCTTCTGGCTGGGCCGGCTGCGTGGCCTCGAGTAGTTTTATTTCACTTCTGCGGGCTCTGATTTTCTCTCCTATAACTAGGGATTTCCCCAGGGCACAGGGCCCTAGATGGTCACAGGTAAACTTTTTTGGCTCTAGTATGCTATGATTTTAAATATTGATTTGGCCCTATTAATCCGTAAAATGTGAATGAAGTCAGGCAGTCTGAATTTTTTTTCTGCATTACCTTTAGCATTTACTCTGGAAATGAAGGGAGTGGAGGAAGCAAAGTTAAGCAGAGAGTAATGGAAGA